ATCGCTGGACTCCCATGTAGTCAACTGTGATTCGAGTCCTGGACCTGGTGGCTTAAACTCACACTGGGCATGTGTGCATGCATGCCGAGATCCTGAGAGGAGAATGGAGGGTGGGGGATTGTGGTGTGGCCATCCCCTCTAGGGGTTGATTTCTCACTTTCTGTCTCTGTCTCTCTCTGTCTTTCCAGCGAGCACTCGTGTCCTATAGCAAAAGAAAACCTCTCAAAAATTTATTTAATTCCATTCGTTGCTATTTATTATGATCATAATCATTATCATTATTAATTTAACCAGAGAGAGAGAAAGGGAAAGTGAGAAAGCAAGCCACCAGGTCTGGGACTTGAACCATGGTCAGCCATGTGGGAGTCCAGTGCCTTAACCACCACGCTGCCACCTGCCATCCCCCTAAATCAGCCTGATATAAAGCCTCTGCTCTTGGGGCCAGCAGGTGGCATGGTGGTTAAGGTGCTGGACTCCCACATCGTTGCCTGTGGTTCAAGTTCTGGACCTAGCAGCTTGAACTCACACCACGCATGCATGCTCAGAATCCCAAGAGGAGAATAGAGGAGAAGGAACTGCGGTGTGGCCATCCCCCCGCGGAGTGATTCTTACTTTCTCTTTGTCTCTCTCTGTCTCTCCAGCAAGCACATGTACCCTATAGCACAAATCTCTTCAAAAAGAAAATAAAAAATAAAGTCTCTGTTCTCCATCCTGAGCCTCGTGTTTCTTCCCATTTTGGGGCTTGAAGCTCCTACTGTGTGCCTTCTGTGGCGTTCAGTGGTGCAGGGAGCTGGCAAGAAGAAGGCCATTGGGACCAGCAGTTAGCATAATGGCTATGTCGCTGCATTCCCACGTAGTCGACCGTGGTTCAAGTCCCAGACCCGGTGGCTTAAACTCGCGCCGGGCACGTGTGCGTGCGTGCCCAAGATCCCGAGAGGAGAATGGAGGAGAAGGGATTGCGGCATGGCCATCCCCCCTGGGGGGTGATTTCTCGCTTTCTGTCTCTCTGTCTCTCTGTCTGTCTGGCGAGCACATGCGCCCTACAGCAAAAACCTCTCCAAAAAAAAAGAAAAAAAAAAAAAAGATGGCCATCGATCTCTTTCGAAGGGCTTGGAGAGAGGGCGGAAAATTTCTTGAGCACCTACTGCAGGCCAGGAACAATGCCATCCCTAACCCCTGACCCTGCCCTTACAATCCTCATAACAACCCCTGAGAATGAAGGCCTGCCCTCCCCTCTCCTTGCTGGGTGGCCTCCAGCAGGCTCCATACCTCACTGAGGGGCCTTCATCCAACTCTCTTGACAGCGGTTGCCCCAGGAAACCTCCAACCCTCTGCTAGTTCCAGGTCAAAGCTTCTCAGAACAACAGGAAGTGGCTGGCCACGTGGAAAGTCTGGGGGGTGTGACCATTGCCCCAGGCAAACTGCGGGGTCACCTGGAGAGGTGAAGGAGCTGGCTCCCTCGAGGCCTAGCTGGCATGGTCTAGAGCCCTGGTCATTTGCCCTGGGGGCCTAAGGAGAGGGGGTGTGTGGGAATGTAACTTCCTGCTTTGTTCCAGAAGATGGACAAAGACGGCCAGTTGGCAGCCCGCCTGGCAGCTGTGAGGCTCTGGGGCCGGGCCCTCAGGTTCTCATAGGAGTCTCTGAGGTTTCTGCAGGCTCCCGGGGGGAAAAAAAAAAAGTTTTAATCAGAAGCTTTCATCCAGGTGTGTATGTGGGAGGGAGAGGACTCTGTCTTTTTTTATTTTTAGTGATTTTTTTTTTTTTTTGCTATAGGGTACAGGCACTTGCTGGAGAGACAGAGACAGAGAGACAGAAAGTGAGAAATCATTCCCACATGCCCCCTCCTTAGGCCCCCAAGGGGATGGCTACTTTGCAATCCCTTCTCCTCCATTCTCCTCTTGGGATTTTAGGCACACATGCACACACACCCGGTGTGAGTTTTAAGCCACCAGGTCTGGGACTCAAACTATGGTCAACTATGTTTTTTTTTTTTTTTTTTCAGGGTTTTTGCTAAAGGGCGTGT